GTTCAATTCAAGCTGCCTGGCTGCCGGCCGCCATCTTGATTGGCAGTTAATTTGCATATCTCGCTGATTAGCCAATGGGAAGGGTAGCGGATGTACGGCTAATTACCATGTTTCTCTTTTATTAGATAGGACAAGATATAATAAGTGTTGGTGAGGATTTGGAGAAAAGGGAAACCTTGTACACCATTGGTGGGAATATAATTGGTGCAGTCACTATGGAAGACAGTATGGAGAGTTATCAAAAAATAAAAATAGCACTATCATATGATCCATATGGAAATCTATTGAAAGGCAATGGAAGCAGCATCTGGAAAAGACATGTTCATTGCAGCATTATTCACAATAGCCAATAAATGGAAACACCCTGTCTACAGATGAAGAGATGAAGATTATGTGAGGTATATATATCTACAGGGGTGGGAAAAAGGTTTACAGTTGTGAGACAAGAAACAAATAATGCAATGAACAATAAATAATCATAGAGGAATAAACTGTATTTTGAATACTCACAACTGTAAAGCTACTTTTGGCATGTGTGTGTGTGTGTGTGTGTGTGTGTGTGTGTGTGTGTATTCTTCCATGAGGATTAGAAGAACATGTTTCCATTTGCATGGACTTATGAGCATTTGCTAAGTGAAACTAGTTATGCAGAGGATAATAAATACTATATGATACCACTTTTTTTTGACATTCAAAATGAAAACCACTTTATTGCAAAGTTTAGGACACAATAGACTTCACAGAACAACAGAAATAAGACAATCCCAAGACGCTGGAGTGTAACATCACAGCTGACAGGTTAGTACTCCTCACCCTCATCCTCTCCCTCAATACTATCTGCTCCAACCTCCTCATAATCCTTCTCAAGGGCAGCCATGTCCTCACGGGCCTCAGAAAACTCTTCTTCCTCCATGCCCTCACCCACGTACCGTGGACAAAGGCACACTTGGCATACATCGGGTCAAACTTGTGGTCCAGGCAAGCCCAGGCCTCAGCAATAGCTGTGGTGTTGCTCAGCATGCACACAGCTTTCTGTACTTTGGCCAGGTCTCCACCAGGGACCACAGTGGGAGGCTGGTAGTTAATGCCAACTTTGAAGCCAGTGGGGCACCAGTCCACAAACTGGATGCTGCGCTTGGTCTTGATGGTGGCAATGGCAGCATTGACATCTTTGGGGACCACGTCACCACGGTACAACAGGCAGCAAGCCATGTATTTACCATGGCGAGGGTCACATTTCACCATCTGGTTGGCTGGCTCAAAGCACGCATTGGTGATTTCTGCTACAGTAAGCTGCTCATGGTAGGCTTTCTCAGCAGAGATGACAGGGGCATATGTGGCCAGAGGGAAGTGGATGCGGGGATAGGGCACCAGGTTGGTCTGGAATTCAGTCAGATCAACATTCAGGGCTCCATCAAACCTGAGGGATGCAGTGATGGAGGACACAATCTGGCTAATAAGGCGGTTAAGGTTAGTGTAGGTTGGGCGCTCAATATCGAGGTTTCTA